TACTCTATGGAAGTTGGCTTTCCAATGGCCAATGGATGGCCATTTTTATACTCTCTAGAAGTTCCATCTCTTATGTCAGTCAATGGACAATTAAAGGGAAAAGTACAAAGACAAGAAGGCCAACAACAAAAACAGAATGAAAAATACAGTGTACCATTTAGTGCTGACATCAACGGTGAAGCTCAGATCACATATTCCTCACAAACCAGAGGAAAGATGGGATTCGTTGCGCCTTTTGCGAATCAAATCTACATTGCCGGAGTGGAGAGGAACTTTCACGTGCACGTTCCCATTAAAGGAAGTATCAAGTACAATCCTTCTAGTTACAACAACTCCCTCGAAACTGTCCTCGAACCCCTCGCAGCCAGTGGTGGTAAACAACAAGTGTTCCAGTCAAGCACCAACCTTTACACTACTGCTCAGGATATCAACGAGGGCAAACCCTACATCCAAGGTCAAAATGCTCTTCCTGTCTACTCCAGGCCTTTCCAACAGATCTACAGAAATACGTTGGGTCGTGAAGTGTCTGGTTATGGATTTGATGTCACGGTCAGAGGAGAAGAGAACTTTTTGAACAAGCCAAACATTTGGAAAGCGTTGCGCCAACACGATTCTCTTTCTGCTTTGCTTTTCAGCAACACTGTTAGACAACTGCAAAATGATTATATTTCTGTTAAGTATAATCCGCAAAAAAGCTCTCCACAGCCAATTAACATAACTCTGTCTTTCATTTCGAATGAAAATTATCCTGCATCATCCTCCAGATTTACAAAGGTTGTACATCCCTTAAGGAGATCTCAGAAAATGAGCTCGACAACTTTAGGTACGCCACAGTCTTATCAAGGACGAAGAGAAGAACTTCTTGAAAACGTCCAATCTGGAATGCAGGACGCTAAAGCTCATGTGCTTGACGCATCCATATCATTTGGCAGCCAACAAGGAAATGCTGGGTATTCATTAACTCTAGCTCACGCCAACAGCCCAGTTTCCACACTTTCTAGAGTACTTTTCTTCTACAAGGGAAAGCCTCTCCAACCCTCCGAGAACACTAAGCCATGCCAAGCTTCTGGTGAAATCGAAATAAATGACCCACGAGTTTCGTCATACAACTTCCGAGAAGCCCTCAATCAAGAGTCCACTGCAAGCATCGAAGGTAAGCTTAAGATGCAGCAAGAATCGAGCCCGGAAGCTGAAATTTCCTTCCAGGGGAAATTTGAAAGGACGAATGAAAGAAAAGAGCATGTTCTCCAGCTATCTACAGCTAGGACCTGCGAGGAACAAATGCAACGTGGAGATTATTTCCAATCGGCATGTAGAAATGTCTCTCTCGATGCTAATTATATGGACAAATACAACATTGTTTTTGACTACCAAAATGTTCCAAAAGAAGTACAAAGAGCTATTTACTCTACTACTATTTACGGAATGGCTCGTGGTCTTCTTTACCCTTATAACCAAGAGAAAATTCAATCACAAAGCCAGTCCGAAAACCAAATCACAGTTGGCGTGCAGTTCTCAAAGGATCTCTCGGCAGTCAATGTCTCAATTGCAACTCCAAGCTTGCAATCCCAATTCGAGGATATCAGAATGCCACAGATGGCAATTCCTTTGTTCGTCTATCACCCCAAATATAACCAACTTCAACTGATAAGCCGAAAAGTCTTCAGATCCTATCCTACAGGTTTTGCTGTTCTTGACGGGAAGAGTGTGACGACATTTAACAACAAATCTTACCCCATTGACCTTGGAAACTGCTACCATGTCTTTGCAGTCTACGCGCCTCATGAGGAATATGGTAGTCAGCAACAGTATAAACATAGAGATGACCAGAGGAAGTTTGCCATTCTTGTGAAGGAGAGCAACTCTCAAAGCAGGGAGGTTTTGATCACCATTGGGAACGACGAGGTCCATATGAAACCAGGAGTATCAGTGCAAGCCAACGGCCAGGAAATCCAGTTTTCGGAGCAGAAGATCTCGAAATGGTCCAATGGAGAAAACTCTATTGAAGGCCACGTCCAGAACGGAGGTGTGTACGCTCTTCGTTTCCCACGGCAAGGTATTGAAGTTAGTTACGATGGCAGCAGGCTCCAGGTGACACTCCCATCCTTCTACAAGTCCAGAGTTCGCGGACTCGCTGGTACCTATGGCGGCCAGGATACGGAAGATTTTTCTGCCCCTGACAACAGGGTCCTCAGAAATCCTCTCCTTTTCGCTGCCAGCTACGCCCTTACCCAGGACCAGACCTGTCGAGGACCCGCTAAGGAACGTAATCAGGAGGCAGTGAAGGCTCCAAAATACGAGAAGACTGTCACTCCCGGGAACGTGGTGTCAGACCGTGAGGCCGGTAGGGAGAAGCTGAAGACTGCTTCAATCCAAAAGAACCATTTGCCGAAGCAGATGGACGTCAAGACATCTTTGACGGAACTGAGGACCAGATACATGGAGGAAGGAGACAGGACTTGTTTCTCAACAAGGCCACAGATTAGCTGTTCATCACACGCCAGAGCCACCAAAAGGATGCAGAAGAACGTGGACTTCCACTGCATTCAGACCAGCAGTGCTTCCAGACATTGGGTTCAAATGATCAAGAATGGAGCCAATCCCGACTTCTCACAGAAGGGTTCTAACCACCAAATACTCATCGCTCTTCCCCAAGAGTGTCAACCAAGGGCGTAGATA